TGGCTTGTGTGCCTTAAACTTTTGGAAGTGACTTGAGCATCCTTATCTCATATTGACGCTTACTTGAACTAGGTTTGCAGTCATAGTACCCATCACTGCCATAAAGGCCTCTTGATTGAAGACCAGTGGTGCTGGTTGATTGTTCTGTCCACCCTGACGACTTCTTCCTCTAGTTGCCAGACACACATAAGATAGCAATAGACATCTAACTTAGCATCCTTGACTTACGAATCGAACATTATGACCATACAAAATTTTTGAAATTTTTTCCTTTATTCTACTGGTAGGTTCCCAAAAAGAAAACAATCCTTCTAGTGGGTCATGCAGATCCTTCCGATAGATGGCTTGATTGGAAGTCAAGCTACCGGTTCCTTTTGCCCTCCTACTAATAGATTAGGCCACAAAAGTCCTTCCAATTGGCCAGTTACTATCCTTCTATCAGTTACTATACCACAGAAGTTCTCTTATTCTATTGGTACCTTCTGCCTTCCTGCCGGTAGGTAAAGCCACATAAGTTCTTCCTACTGGCAGGTTCCTGCCTTCTACCGGTAGATCATGCCACAAAAGGCCTTTCTGCCGGTAGAAATGCCCAGTTCCTACCCTTTTTTCTTCCTTACTCTAAAGTTATGTTTTCTAATTCTAGTTTCTCATTCCTATATACATGTAATCATACATATAATTCACATAAAACACATAACATATATGACATGTAATATGCAATGCTCAATGGATGCAATGGCCTAAGTCCATGCCCCGCAAGCCCTAGGTAAATTGAGACTCTGGGCTCTGATACCAAGGTGTGACTTCCCGATTTTTCGGGTGGCATTACTCAACCCATTGATCACCTATCAACTAGTGAAATAACCCATGATACTGCATAACCTGATAACACGTTGAGATGCCCCATTCACCGGGGGTCCTTAAACTCAACAAAAATCCAGGCAAAGTCTCCCTTTGTACAGGGAGCTCTACCTTACACACAAACCTGTGCATTATATAACCATAAGACCACACCAGGTCCAACGTCAATATCTAGTTCTTATACTATTGAATGTCAACATCCACGACATACATTCATTCACAAGAGAATAATGTTCATAAGAATCACATTACATGCCTTTAATAAAATACAAGGTTTGGACTTGAAATATACAAGGTCATAATGTAATTATATACAAGGGACACAAAATCTATATTAAGAGCCACAATCCAGCTCTATCCTCAAAACAGGCCCAAGTTAGGGCCGTCACCGAACGCCTGTCCAATACCTGAAATATATCCTCATAAAGGGTGACTCATGGTCAATAGCATACCTCCCATGAAGATTACCTCCGTTGAACCCACATGCATATGAAATATCACATGCAAACATCATGTCAAACATCCGTTCAAATAGATATATCACATAATCGAATGCTACAATTCCATGTCATGTTATGAGATGATAACTCATGCATGCAATGCAACACCGAGTCCCATCGGCTCTCATAACACATGTAATGTCATGCATATGAATTTAGACATTTCAAGCCCCCACTATTGATGTTAAATATCCACTGACTATTTTAAAAAAAATAAAAAATAAGTCTATCTGGGGTAGGTATTTTGTGGACTTACACTAATGGTTTTCCAACTGACATGAAATTCTAGGACTTCCACCTATGGTTCTGCGTAGAGCAACACATGTTATAGACTCAATGCCAATGACAGTGTGTATCCGAAATTTTCGGGTCTCCCGATGGAGAATCTAATCCTTCTTGCGAACTTAGACACGCCTTTTCAATGCAAACCCGTGCGACTCAGCCAGACTTAGGTTCAACTTTTCCAAACTCATGTATCAACCCAACAAATATGGTGTTTGATTAAAAACATGCATACACACCCACACTCATATCAGATACCCATGAATGCAATGCTACTCATGCTTGTGCAAATGCAATATGCAATTGCAATTCATATCGTTATTCTCATCTTATTATAAAACATATGATAAACATGTACATTTTCATAAACATTTCCAAGCTTGTCATATATGATTATAAGCCAATAAACATACTTGAACCCTAAGCATTTTATCAAAACACTTAGAAAACATAAAAAATAAATACACAGCATACCCACAACAAAGACTAGTAGGTAGTGCCTCTCCTACTAGTAGATTCACCTTTTATGCCGTTTTTCATACGTCACCCAAATTAAACTCAAAATGGGTTTTACAAGTTCTCATACTCATTTTTAAGTCCCTAGTCACGCTAGGTGTAGTCTAGCATAAAAGATTTCATCCTTAGGGCTATACCCATTTCATATACAACCATAAGTTGAAAATAAACCTCAATAGGAGCAATCTTACCTCTTGTAGCGTGCGCATGAGGTAGATTGCAAAAACAAAGAAAATATACAACAATAACCCACAAGTCTTAAAAGGATGTCCAACTAGACATCAAAACTCTTTGAGTTTTAAATTTTTATTTTTTTTTTATGTTTTTCGTGTAACAAAAACAAAGTGAATAAACAAAGAAAAAATATTTACAATACATGAACTTAGGATATAAGATGCAATGCATGACTATGCACATAGGTCAACACCCTCACATAACCTACTTCTTTAGTGACTAACCTCCATGGTAACCCTCAGGACCTCCAATTTGGTTGAGGTGGTGAGTCTCTCAAAGTCCTCAATCCTCACTCACACTTGTTTTTCCTTCCTATCACTTGAGTTACCTTGGGTAATGAGTGGTGGACTAACTTTCTTCTATCTGGATGTCTTTAAATCAATTTTAATTTGGGGAGTAGGAGTCTTGTTCATCCTAGCTTGTGAGCCTTTTTGTGGTGAAGAATTACGAGGCTTAGGCTAAATTGATCCACCCATAAGCTTGGTAAGGTTTAGCACTTGCTTGTTCAAGGCCTTGTACTGATTAGCTAGGAGTGTGAGGTCCTTATTCATGACTTCCCTAGAATATATGCAATGTTTACTATAGTGCCCATGCTCTCCACAAGTGAAATAAATAAATTGTTTAGCATGGAGTTATTTAAATTCTTACATTTACCATTCTTGTTCTGTGAGAGACCTTGGTTCACTTGTGGGGTTGGTGGGTTTGTGTTACCCTTCACAAACACAATTTTGAAAAGAGTGGAGGTAGTGTGCTCATTTGTGTACCCTAAATCACGTTTATCACCAACACTCTTCCCTGTAGAAAATAATTTATCTAACTTTTTAGAACCAAGATAAAACCTTTTGAGAATTGACATGACTCTTGAAAGTCTCTATCAAGTTTGGTCAACTTAAATTCTAGACCCTTCTTGGACTCCATGACACTCAATCTTAAGAAAGCTCACTTTGTCCTTCAAGGATATATTCTCCTCTTCAAGCCCACAAATATGAGCTTTAGACTTCAACAAGTCCACATGGAGTGATTTTTTCTCTTCTTCACTCATTTTAAGTCTCGAGTTCAATGTATACACTCTTTTCTTTTGTTTGAGCATTTTTTCACACAATTGATCATAAGCATCAAGAATATTATAATGTTTTCCGTGTCATCCTCACTTGAGATGACTTCAACCTCCAAGTCATCTACCTTCGTGGTAGGACTTAGTTCTTCTTCTTCTTTCTCTCTCTCTCAAATTCTTCACTAGAAGTTTTTCTCAGGGGGGTGGGGGTGGGGGGGTGAAGGGAGGAATATGAAAAAAAGGGAGGAATATGAACCAACGAATTCTATAAAATTCTTCTCATCATCTTGAGAATATGAATCCGCACTTGATGTGGACTCAGTATCTCTATCACTCTATTTTGCTTTCACTGCTCACCTCCTCTCTTTGAGCATGTCTTTCTTCTTTCCATTAGGGAATTTTCATAGCCAAGTGACTAGACCCATTGCACTCAAAGCACTGGAGCCCTTTCAGCTCCTTGTTGATTTTTAATACCCATTTTATCCTCTCTTTCTTGCTTCAAAACCCTAGGTCTACTCGACTTGCCCATCAACATAGAAGACTCAACACCTTTAGCCTTGAAATATTTTTTGAACTTCTTAGCAATAAATGCTATATCCTCTTGTCCCAAGTGAAGTGACTCAGATTCATCTCCATCTTCTCGAATTGAACTCAAAAGGCAACACCCCTCAACTTATTTGATGGTTGGAGATTCATTTCAAAAGTCAAAATCAACCCAACTAGGTCTTCCACGAACATCTTCTCTAAGTTGACTATTAGCTCTAAGGTCATTACCTTAACTTGAAACCTCTCTAGTAAAGATCTTAAAATTTTTATTTAATCGGGGAATTAAAATGAATCGACAAGGTCACTTAACTTAGCATAAAAATCACTAAAAGTTTCAACCTCTTAAATCCTTAAGGTCTCAAATTGGGAGGGGTGCCTTTGAAGCTAAAGCATCTTCACTAATGGAGTTGCTTGACTCCAAAAATACACACAAGTGCAGGTGGTCAAGTGTAGTAATAAACTAGATAGTCCGATGTCGATTCTCAAAGAAATTGTTTGGAGTTAGGAAGATAGAAAGAAAGAACAATTAAAGAGAATTTGAGTTTGATTAATTCGAACAAATTTAACGAAATTTATTATGAAAGAAGGCTATTCTCTAGCTTCGGGTTCAAGTATCATTCATGTAAATCAAATATCATATTTATGCAATTATATTATAATTATCTCAGTTGACTTCCATCGTCAGTATAATCAACTAAAAAATATAGCTTTGAAATTCAATTTTTGATTTAAAAAAATAGGAATTTAAAAACTAGTAATGTACACTCACGGGGAATTATAAGCATTAATTATACAAAGAAATCAATCTTGTTAAAAATTAATCAAATAAATTTACAAAGTATATTACTTTGATAAAAATTACTTATTCAATCGAGAAATACTTAAAAAAATAAATCATTCATGAACCATAATAAATAATTACATTCATAAAAATATTCAAACTACAAGCATGAATCCTACCCTAACTAGAGAATAGGAAAAGGTTTACTCACTAGGCATTAGAAAGATCTTCAATAAAATAAGAAAAAGGTTCAAGAGAGTCTAGGCAGAGAGAGATGTAGGAAGCCCCCTTAAAAAAGGTTAATCCCCTCTCTATTTATACCTCTCCTAAAGAAAATCAGATCTTAGAATAGAACCAAGGGCTAAAACATCCGTCAATCAAAAAGAAGGCGTGTTCAAACGATGAACTGCATTTGAACGGAAGTACGCATCGTCAAGTGGCGTTCAGACGGTCATCGCACATCTCGATGGTCAAATTTCTCTAGATATTGCCTCTTAGCTTGGTTGTATGTATCGTCAAATTGGCGTTCGAACAATGGGACCCATTTGAACGGTTGCATCTCTTTGGTTTTTCCCCACTTCGCTTCTCGTAGACATCCTTGCGTTCGAACGGTTGGGACCCATTCACAAAGTGCCCTCTGAATTTCCTCCAATCTCTTCAGAGACAAATATTCTTTAATCCTCATATCAACCTTTTATTACACTTTGCTCCCCCTTGAATTTACTTTATTCTCCTACTGACTGGTCATTTCACCAAATCACTTATCTCACCTCATTTTTCCTAAAAATCATCAAAACATTATAAATCACATAAAAGTATCCTATCAAAGGATAATTAATCTAATAACTCAAAAATAATACAATTCGTCACAATTAATATATAAAAAAATAACACTTTTCATGACAAATCAATGTGTCAAATTGGGAGGGGTGCCTTTGAAGCTGAGACATCTTCACCAATGGAGTCCCTTCATGGGAAACTTCCAAGATATCTCAAGCTTCTTTGGAAGTCTCACAAAATGGAGATCCTTCAATATTCATTGAGAGAGACGGGATTGAATATCACATTCAATCCTTTTGAGTTCTACCCTGCACTTTCATACTCGATTTTGGTCCAAGTACTTGGGGGTTTTGATCCGGTCACAGTGTAGTCATCACCATAAGAGGGGTAGGTTCCTCTTTGTAGCTTGCATAATCTTTGCTTGTGTATGAAAGATTGAGTGATGGTTCTTAATTGAAGAGTTGAAGAATTCTAGGTTTTGGGTAAAAATTCGGAGGCGTCAACCATTACATCAAGTATGCTTAAAATCTCATCTGGATACTGGATTTGTACTACAACTAAATTTGAGGTGGGTGTATTTTTTGTGTGCGCTTGAAATAAATATGAATACGCTTTAAATGCTATAGAATGTGTGATGTTGTGATTTTATTGCCTATGATTTGTACTGTGGATGAGCTATATCACATTATTGATAATAGCAAGAGAACGACTGAGCTTATTGGTATATGAACATGTAAGTAAAGGGGTGTTGTGAATACTATATGATTATATAATATAATCTTACTAATTGATATAGCCTTAAAGGCTAATCTCACTTGTCGTTAATAGATGACTATATGGATTGTTGTTTAGTGATAACAACACTGTGATATGTTAGCATTGTGGTTATGTTAAGTGGCCTTATTGACAATGAATGCTATAAATGACAGTAATACAGTCTGTATGACAGATATTGATAAATGATAATTATGTGGTCTGTAGTATTGATAAATGATAATTATATTGCCTGTGTGACGAACATTGTCCATGTGGCATAAAGGCAAATACTTACATAATTCTATTGGATGTTATGATGAATTGTATGGGATGATTGCCAGAGAGACATGAGAACTTATATCTAACAGCTTATAAAAACTGTTTAGTTATTTAGGAAGATGATAACTACGTTATATTGTTGTTGTTTGTTTTTGTTGTATACATTCATTAAGCGTGTGCTCACCAACCCCCCCCCCCCCCCCCCCCCTTCCCCCGACCCCCGACCCCTTTTTTAGCTTGTATTTTTAGGTAAACAAAGAATAAAAAATGTCCACTATTAAGTTTAGACGGTAAAAGACAAAATTGGGTTTTTGTATATTATCGCATCATTTTGAATAATTGTTGTCTTGTAAATTGGAGAAAATAAATTTTGTTCTTAATTACGATTTAAAAGTACTTTTACATGTACCTGGTATGCTAGGATCATAAGAGAATAAAAGTTATTTTGTTGAATCTGATCAGTTCAAATCATTGTTCTTAAGTAAATATATGTATAGGGTACATGTGTGAGTCAAGGAGTGAGATCCACTCTATCAAATTTGGACATAATATTTTGTCCCCGAGTCAGGGTGTGACAAGGGTCCAACCTTCTAACACCAAAACCATATACGCTCATCGATCGAATTTAGGAAAGCTCTCATTTGTACCTTCAAAAATGCATAATTTCAACCATCAAAGAGTGGTGGTCTCATGGCCGATCCACCTTCTCTTTGGGAGTTCATTTGAGACTAACCAGTAGTCACAATAGTTCTCAAATCAACAAAAAACTAGGTTAAGTAAGCAAACACAAAATAGAACTACAAGTGCCTAAATGCTTGTATTGAGCCTCTCTTTTTTGTGTATATTATATTCCCCCAACAATCATCCAAACCAGCATCTCCTTCAGGATTTGGTCTTGTGTTTTTGTGTTACGGCAGCTCTTCACGCAGAGGTAATATCATTTTAATGTAACATGAGCATCCAGAGTTTGAATCGCAGAAATAGTTTTTTCACATGTAATGTAAGACTATACATTTAACCTCCTCAAGTATTGACTTCAGATGGCAGGCATGATGGTGACCAAATATTAATATCTCAGATATTTCAACTCAACACAACACAGTTTTTTACCAATCATTTGGGTCAACCACATTAATCTTGTCCCACCAAGCATGTTCTATCTCAGATCCATTCTAAAAGGCATGGGAAGCCATATTTGTGTATCAGCATGCACGCAACTCGAACTTCCAAACCCCCCTTGGATTCATTGGGTCTCCTTTCACATGTATTCAAATCCATTACAAAATCGTCTATATAACCTAGTTATACTTCCACTGTTTCAACAAACAAAACACTAAACTTAGATGCCAATACTGCATTTTTCACTATATTTATGTCCATCTGCCCATTACACCGACTTTTCATCATAATGCAACTACTCTAGTAAACTAATCATTGAAACCATCTTATGTGGTTGATTCGGTCAGGTAATTATACAAGTGCATCACATATATTTGCCTAAAATGAAAATACAACAATTAAAACGTTGCAACCTCGCTGTTGCTTTGACCTCCAACCACAGGGAGGAAAAAATGCATATAACTTCTAAAGAGCTGAGTAACAAGAAGTGTCACAGTAAGCAAACAAGGAAACCATCAACTAGAAACTCGTGCTATTGTAAACTGTAATGGGGATTGCCAATCCATGTCAGCTTATGGATTACCCATAAAAAATATGAAATACAGGCAGGCAGCATTATCAGATCTCAAAATTTCGGAACAATAAGGGGATGAAAATGAGGTACCCATCATAAACTGTTGTCAGCCATTTAGGAACCAGAGATTCTACAGAAAACTAGCGTTTTGATTAGAAATGGTGCCAAGCAATCCAAGCTAATTTTGCAGCCTGATGATGGCACACTACAAATATAAATTTTTCCTATGATAGGCTCTCTTAGCATTCTGACCTGGCAATGGATCAGGAAGCCTTCGAAGAAAGATTAGCTTCTGGTGTTGCATGGCGTGCCACGAAAGATTCAACAAGTGGGTTCACTAGATGAGGCGCCTCATCCTTCACACTCATCAGCAAAAACAATAGTTAGTCAAAAGACATCATCATTGCAACCATTCACGAGAATTTACAAGAAATCACTTAAGGTGCCATCTCACCACTTAATTTAACAGAAAATACTCTTCGTCACACAGATGCTATTCAAACATCCAAGTTCAACAAAAGAATCCAGTAAAATATCTCTCTCCCGATCAATGAAACTTACTAGTAGCCAACATCCAAATATACGCTGTAATCCATTAACAAACTGGAACGGTCTATTTAACTTGCTAGAAAAACCAAAAAATGTTTCTAACAACCTTTAAGAAAGTTAATTGAAACTAGGTTACATGGCTGTTTCTTTTATACCTTAAAAAAAGGTTGTACAACACCCATTGAGATGCAAAAATATAAATAACTCAACCACTTCACACACTTGAACAGGCGTGTTATTGAGTCTAATGACATTTACATGAGGGTGAGAGAGAGAGAGAGAGAGAGAGAGAGAGAGACACCTGAGGGCAGTGGCCCACATCAGAGAGGACAATAAAGTCTTCTACAGAATTAAATTTCTCATAGGTTCTTCCAAGCTCAATAGGTTCCCATGGATCTTTATCACCCCATGCTACCAAAACAGGACACTATAGAAGAGGACAAGTGGTAACGAAGCAGAAACGGAGTGAACAGAAATGTCTAAAACCAGCAAAATAATATTCAGAACAATAGGAATCAAATTAAGAAATGGACCTGCACTTGAGGCAGTAATTCCTCAGGAAGGGGCCCCTCTGAATAACAAATGAACTCGAGAAACACGTCTGAAGCACCAGGCTCCAGTCCTGGAAGAAGGATCGCCTGTACTAGTTCATCTGTCACCTGAGAGGTGTCATGGTAACACTGAAATGCAATCCATCAGAAGCAGAAAACAAAGACCATGTGATGACAGTTAATTTTTCAATTTTCAAGTTCTCACTTACTATATTTTTTAAATTTTTAATTCCTATATTATTATCCTCGAAACAAATATTACAAGCATCTGCTACCCATCAACTTCATATGTATACCAAATAGAATAATGAAACCCAGGTGGTTTGACTATCAAACGGGTATTCATTACAAACTACCTGTCACAGAATTTAATGTTGTAAATGTCCCTGCAGACTCAATCAATGTAATGCTTCTTTGCAGATTATTAACTTTGCAGTGCAAGTGTATTCAATGAAGAAAAGTAGTACAAGTTCGACGAATACACAAAAACACACAAGCATCACTAGAAAAGCTTGGAAGGCAAATTTATGGATGTTACCTCATGATTGCCTACTGAAAATCCACTTAAATCTGCTACAGATTCTTCAGTATCATAGTATCAAGTATTCAAAACTTAATGGTTAAAACATCATGGAACCAACAGAATGCTATATCCTAATCCTGCATTACCTCACCTTGAGGACACACTCAACCATCAACAACAACAACAAAAGCTAAGTTAAAACTTGAATAATTGAATATTAGTGCTAGGAAAAGAAGAGAAGAACCTGCCCTTAGCTTCTATAAACTTCAAAAGAAAGAGCAATCAACTATATGCTTCTCCTTCTAGATAAACACCTTATAGGGGCTTGCAGGCAAGAAAAGGAAGTCAAGCTAGGTCCCTAAGGTAACTCACTTAGAGAACAAATCAAAAAGAGAGGAAGTAAAGGAACCTTCATAGAGCTTGCATGAAAAGAGAAAGAGAGACTATGGGGCAATATTGAGAGTAGGATGTGACAATGTGTGCTGTCAATACCCTATCAACTATTTGTTAAAGTATATTTAGATATCTAATATTAGTATTTGAGGTAGTTTAGTGGTTTATTTTAATTGTATTGCCCTACTAGGGCCTCCATTGTGTATTCTCATTATTAAGTTGTTGCATGCAGACTTATAGGACCTTAATAATATTTTCCCTCCGTTCTTTTCATTTGTTCTCTTTTGATCAAAGTTTACATGGTATCAGAGCAAGTTATGATCCTCATCAAAATGGTGCAAATTAGAAGAAATTTGTGTGTCGAAAAATAATGGCTGACGTCATGAAGAAGATGTTATCATTCAGAGGCATCCAACACCCTCATTCCACTCAATTTTTATGGGCTACGACGTCGTATAATTTGTTTTTGATTTCATGGTCATCTTTTAGGATTTTCTATTTTCTGGAACTTTAGCGAAATTTCAACTTTTATGCCTCTAATCCCTTCTATAAGGTGAGATTAAGGGCTAATGGTGTTTGATGGAATGACTTGAAGCACATTGAACTAGTGTGTGCTGATAATTTGCGGATTTCTCTATCGACTAGGTTTTTTGTTGCTACTGTGGTGTCAAAATCATCTTTTGGACTGCTGGGGTGATGTTTTTCTTGGTTTGTTGGGCTGCTGCTTTGCTATTTTGCTGATTTCTTTCCCTCTGGTTGCTGGTTTCTTGTTTGTTCTTGGTTGGATTTTCTGCTCTGCTGGTTGTTAACCTTGCTTGCTGGTTCTTTTTAGTTCTGGGCCTTTTTTCCTTTTTGCCTGCATTGGGCTGGTTTTTTGACGGTGTATTGGGTTGGTTTTCTGGAAGGAACATTGGACTGTTTTTTCTGTAAGGTGTATTGCTTGCTGGTTGTTTTTCATTGTGGGCCTTTTGTTCTTTTTGCTTGGCATTGAGCTGGTTTTTTGGAAGGTCTATTGGGCTGTTTTTTGGAATGTTGCTTGAAGTCAGTAACTGTGGGCCATTTGTTCTGCTGGCCTTTACTTAGGGTTGTGGACTTTGCATTGGGCTGCCCTTTGGGCTATGTTCTTGCGCAACAAAGAGGGAGCAATAGATCATCGATTGAAGGGCCAGGTCAGTAAACTTCCATTCGAACTTCTATTTTTGATTGATTCGACTAGAGGAGAGGGACTCCTAGCAGCAAACTTGTATAAAAGGGCCCCCATAGAAACGCAAGAGATGCAAGAGCGGCCAGCCAGATCGACCAATAAATGATACGCCAGAGGGATGGGCTCATTCGACTAATGAGTGATCCCCGGGCCTATCTAATACAAATGCCGTTGAAATAGGGGATTGGTTGATCGAAAGCTCAAGCGGAAATAGGACATTCCATATAAGTCTTTCTACTCTGCAAGTTGATCTTCCTCTCAAACCCCATATTTCATCGACTGGTAAGGTGAATTCTAAGGTTCCTTATTCCGGTTGTAAAGAGGAACGAAAGAAGAGAGAGAATAGGCATAGCCAGCCCCACTAGTAGCCGGCGTTTCCGACTCGAAAGGAATTGAAAATGATAGAAGAATCCGTGTGCACTATCTATGGAGTGGAGTGACTATCTGGGTGATTGGTCAACGTTGTGCCGAGATTTGGTTTGATTGAAATTTTCATCATAGTAGCTGTAGCTGCTTTTTTTTTTTTTTTCCTTCGGATCCCATTCAGCTGTCGGTGGTCCCTAAGTTGGAATATTGGTTCACTATTGTTTGGTTCTTGCTTTGGGTTGGTCTTTCTCTTTGGACTTTGATCCATTTGGATTTGTTGGTTCTTAAATTGGGCTTGGGAGCTTTGAGCTCTAGATTGTTAAGAATAACATACTAGATAATACTTAGTTGCTAAGTATATCTAGTTGACTTGAGAATACAAATGGTTGAGTCTTGGATCTTGTTATGTGGTTCATATTCTATGGAAGTAAAAAGTCAAGATATATCTTGTAACCTATATGTATGTTGAAATTATAAAATACATGTATAAAAAATTATTCTTAAAAACTAGTTTTGCATTGTCTTTGTTTTCTGTATCACAAATATACAAAGACTGAAATTATAGCTAACATAAGTGGTATCAGAGCTAGTTCGAGATTAACTACCCATGCGTGAAACTTCTCTTGGGATAAACAAAGTCATAGTGAAGAAGATTGAAATGACAAGTGATTAACATGTCTACCGTTGCACAACCACCACCTTTTCCTGTCTTTGATGGTGAAAATTACGATTGTTGGTATGTGAAGACAAAAACTATATTTCTTTCTTATGATCTTTGGGATTTGATTAAAATTAGATAAGAAGATCCAACTGAAGAGATGGCAGTTGAAATGACAACGGCTCAAAGGAACCAATTAAAGGAAAACAAGAATGATGAAAAGGCTCTTTATTTTATTCAAAAAGGAATAACAACTATCATTTTTCCAAGAATTATCAATGCAACAAAGTCAAATGTAGTTTGAGACACTTTACAAGATGAGTATCGTGGTACTACAAAGGTAAGAATACTGAAACTACAATTCTTGAAAAGAGATTTTGAGAATATTAAAATGAAAGAGAATGAATCTTTAAATGATTATTTCTCTAGACTTATGGGGGTTGTAAATTAAAGGAAAACTTATGGAGGCTGTAAATCACAGGAAAACGTATGGAGATCAAATTTTAGACTCATAATTGTTGAGAAAATTTTGATTAGTTTACTAAAAAAATATGATTATAATGTTTCTGTCATTAAAGAAACCAAAGATATTTCTTCTTTGGGTGTTCAAGACTTATAGGGTTCCATTAAAGCATTTGAACAAATGTTGAGTAAGTACGCCGAAAAATCTATTGAGAGTGATTTTCAATCCAAGCTTAATATTGACTCCAAAAGTCATGAATCATCTGCTTCCAATCAATCTAAAAGTGAACTTTGTTTTAGAGGAGGAAGATTTAGAGAGAGAAAGGTACATAAAAGTTTGAAAGAAAATTAATTGAAGAATCCACTCAACAAAAATGTGAAATTTACAAAATATCAAGTCATTTTGATAAAGATTGTTGGTTTCATGAAAAGCCTCAATGTTTTAATTGCAAGAATTTTGATCATTTACAAAAAGTTTGCCGATACAAGAATAATCAGCAAGCTAATTTTTTCGAAGAGTAAGAAAGTAGTGAAAATATGTTCTATGTTTGTCAAGCAATGTTCAAGCAAAAAAACGAAGTGTGGTTATCTTGATAGTGGTTGTAGTAACCACATGACCTTTGATGGTAATATTTTTATGAACATGAACGCCAATTCTAACTCAAGTAAGGATGGAAAATGTTGTCATGGTTCAAGCAAAAGGCAAGGAAACTATTACTATTGAAACAAAATAAAGGAATAAGATATATCCAAGATGTCTTGTTAGTACCAGACTTCGAACAAAATTTATTAAGTGTTGGTTAACTTGTAGAGCATGGGTACTCCGTAGTGTTTAAAGACAACTCTTGCAAGATCTATAATTGTGAAGAGAAAAGACAAGTTATAGCAAAAATTACGATGGAGAAAAACAGAAACTTTTTTCTCATTTTTCGGTATTTAATCAATGTTTCTTTGAAGATGGAAGTTGCTTGAACAGTCTACAACAAAAGAACATGGTTTATGGATTTTCATCTATACAAAAAACTAAAAGAAATTTGTGAAAGATGTGCACTTGAAAAAGATCATCGAGATCCTTTTCCAAAAGAAAAAATTTGAAAAATCAAATCACTATTGGACCTTGTTTACATCGATATATAGAGAGCATCAAGAACATTTTCTCATGGAGGTAACAAATACTTCATAATATTTATTGATGATTTTTCAAGAATGACTTGGGTATATTTTATGAGAAAAAAATATGAAATTTTTTAAGTATTCAAGAAGTTTCAAAAGTTTGTTGAAAGGTAAAGTGGATACTACATTAATGTGTTGAGAAGTGATAGAGGTGGTGAGTACAACTCTAATAAATTTAATAAGTTTTGTGAAGACATTAATATGAAAAAGCAATTGACAATTGGGCACAACAAAATGGAGTGACCAAAAGAAAGATTAGAACCATTGTTAAGATGGTAAAATCGATGGTTTATGAGAAGGAATTATCTAAATCATTTTAGGCCGGAGTGATATACCTGGCGGTTTTCTTGATGAATAGATGTCCAACAAAGGCTTTGGAAAGCCAAACTCCAATTGAGGCATTGTGCAGAAGGAAGCCGTCGGTGAACCACTTCAAAGATTTAAAGATTTTTTGGTATATTAGTTTTACACATGTACCTAAAAAAGTGAGGTAGTAGTTTGATGAAAGTAGTGAAAAATGCATTTTTGTGAACTATACATCAAAATCAAAGGGTTATAGACTCTTTAGTTGAAGAGAAACAAAGTGATTATTTGTAGATATTTCTCCTTAATGAAAACTCTTTGAATTGGAAAGAAAAGAATGTTCAAAATCAAGTTGTTGTAGCAAATGAAGATTATGAAAGCTTTTTGAGCAAGGAAATGAAAATGAAGAAATTGAAGTTCCACCACAAATGTCTCCAATACCCAATCCTCCTTCATCTCCTTCTACTTCCTCAAGTTTAAGCACTACATTTCCAAGTTCAACTCCAAAAAAAATGAAAAGTTTTACTGATGTGTATGCTAAATGCAATTTTAATATGATTGAACCCGAAAGTTTTGAAGACAAAATAAAAGAAGATGCTTGGAAGAATTCAATAGAAGATGAAATTTGTGCGATAGAGAAAAATAGCACTTAGGAGTTGGTGAAAAAACCAAAGAATAAAGAAGTCATTGGAGTGAAGTGAATTTACGAAAGAAAGCTTAATTCAGATGGTTCAATTCAGAAAAATAAAGCAAGACTTGTAGCAAAGGGGTATTCACAACAACCCAGTGTTGAATTTCAAGAGACTTTTGCTCCGGTTGCTTAACATATATAATAAGACTTCTTATTGCTCTTGCTTGACAAAGGAGCTAGTTTCTTCATCAATTAGATGTAAAATCAATATTCTTCAATGACGTGTTGAAGGAAGAAATTTAAGTAGAGCAACCTCAAGGCTTTGGGTGAAGAAGGAAAAGTGTATAAGCTAAAAAAGGCTTTGTACAGACTGAAACAAGCACCTCGAACATGGTATAGTGAGATTGATTCTTACTTCAATACAAAGAAATTTCAAATAAGCAACAGTGAGTCAACCTTGTACATCAAAACAGAAGGTAAGACCGGTATTCTCATTGTGTCTCTTTATGTTCATGACTTAGTTTTTACTGAGAAGGATTAAAAAATGATTGAAGATTTTAAAAGTGAGATGATGAAAATATATGAAATGAGTGATTTGGGACTTCTACATTACTTCTTGGGCATTGAGATTTATCAACAAGAAGATGGATTCTTTATTTGTTAAAGAAAGTATGCAAAAACTTTTCTTGAGAAATTTAGAATGAGAAATTGCAAATTGGAAGCTACTCCTTTGGTTGTGAATGAAAAGTTGTTAAAAGATGATGGAACTAAAGAAATAGAAGCATCTTTTTGTAGAAACATAGTTGGAAGTTTTTTGTATTTGATAGTTACAAGGCCAGACATCATGTATACTACAAGTTTGTTATTTTGGTTCATGCACAAACCAAGCAAAATTCATTTTGGGGGTAGTGAAGAGAGGTTTGACATATATTCAAGGAACAATTCATTTTAGGATTATGTTTGAAAGAAAATTTGATATCAAGTTACTTGAATTTTGTGATAGTGATCGAGTTAGAAGTATTGACAATAGGAGGAGTTCGGGCTATGCTTTCTCACTTGATTCTGATGTATTTTCATTGGTTTCAAAGAAGCGACAAAGTGTGCCACAATCTTCAGCTGAAGCTGAATATATTTCAACATCATTGGCTACTTCTCAAGCACTTTGATTGAGAAGAATTGATGTAGACTGTATTAGTTCTGATACCAAATTGATAAGAAGAGAAGAAGAAAGGGATGAGAAAAGAGAAAAAATTTTGAGAAGGAAATAATATCAATATTCAATAATAATCAAAGTCTAATCTCAATAAAACCCTTACATGCATCCCTTTATATATGGAAACTAAGACCCTAAAACAAATAAATGATGACAAAAAAAACCTCAAGTTAAAAAAAATTACTTAAAAGATAAATATTAAAAATATCTAAATAACTCTCATAACTAATAATATCTATCCAATTCCTACACGATCCCCATCATTCTCTTCCGGTTGAGAAAAACTCCCCTCCGAAGAGTCTTCAAAGTAGAAGTACCCTAAGAGAGCAGGATGAAGATGACATAATGCCTCATCTAGAATGAAAGAATTACCAACTTCTTTCCATCGACCAGGATAAATGCAAGAATTTTCATCTATAGCAATGTAAATCTGGTCACGTACCTGAAATACGCAATGGAAGTGAAAAAATAAAACTGGAGCTAATGCTGAAGAGAAAGTAATTCTACCAGTAGAAATACCGGTTAACAAAATAGGAGGCTCTGGAGTACCTCGACTAATTAGCATGTCCTCCAAATAAAAATATAGACTAATACTAATATTCAATGAAAAATTAAGCAAATAAACATTAGATCCTGAAATGAACATGGCATGAAAAAGCAAATTTAATACAGTGTTGGTACACAACCATAATGTTTTTCAGGACATAGGCACCTTGCCTATTTATGGTTCACTGAGTGCCACATGAAGCATATTTGTGACCCACCTATGACCAGCTTCCAACCCGGGATTTTCCGAGTACTTGGACATCATTCTTTGTGCATTTCAGATTTTGACCGATAAATTGTAGCCATCAATGCTAAAGCCCGTTTGCACCCAGATTAATGATTTATTCAATCGGAGTTTTCACCAAGAATAATCAATTGACAACTAATCAGGATCACGAAACAATGTGTAAATAAAGAGTCGTGTTTGCTAATCAAGTAGAGGAAGATTATAGGGTTAAAATAGAGAAGATTAATTTCATAAATATCTCTATTTCAGAATTCACCTAAACAAAAATCAGATATGAATGTCATCAAAGGACCATATTCAGATGTATCCATCTCTGGTGGAACCTAATCCACAAAAAGGCCTACTCTCCTATGACATCTTCAGCTTCATCAGGGATAGTGTGATTCACAAACAGAGCAAAGACTTTCAAACACAACTTGTTCCATGGAACTCAGATTTTGTCCTGTCTCAGAAAACAGCATTATACCACCCTCATTTGCAAATTAAAGGGCTTATACTGTACCAAACAGTCATCTTCCCACAATATTAGCAACATGCATGCGCACTTCATGCCATATCATCTAAAGCATTAGAACCATATAGTTAAGGAAATTTTAAATAAACCTGTAAACCTCCCACAATGTTAGGGAATTTTGAAATAATGTTTCAATATAGATCGATGTTCATTACCAATAAGAATTCCAGTTTAACAGTCTTGTCCTTTTCATTTATTTTTCTGGTAGCCCTTGCCATTTCAAGCATTAGCTGCGAAGAAGAGGCAGTTATAGATCGATGTTCATTACCAATAAGAATTCCAGTTTAACAGTCTTGTCCTTTTCATTTATTTTTCTGGTAGCCCTCGCCATTTCAAGCATTAGCTGCGAAGAAGAGGCAGTTAACCATGTCATCACAGATGATACCTGGCACAGAATACTCTTCACAGTCTCTGGTGTGGCAACAGCTCTGAAAAAAAAATTTCCTAGAACAGTATTCCTGACACAAAGCATAATTCTCTCAAACTATAAAATGGCAAGTTTTCAATTCTAGAGTAAATTCTTAAACAACCAAATTTACCTCAGCAAACTCTGAAATGATCTAATCAGAGGTCTTCCATACCAAGGCTGCTTCTTTATATGGAGCATACGAAGAGATATATTTAGAAGGATGATGCCCTTACATATCCGTGGCTCCATAATCGCTGCCTGAAGACCCACAAGTCCTACACAAAAACATGAATGTCTTTTGATAGGCCTATTGTGTTCCTATAAATCGGAAGAAATACAAAATAGTTGAAGACTTTGTAGATATAAAGCATGATGCTAACAGTGGTCTAAATCATTTTTTTTTTTTTGCTACAAAATCAAGCACAATATGGGATGGCATAAGAAAATCAATCACAATATGAGATGACATAAATTGTTTGCCACCTTGTTGAAAACAATTCCAACAAAAGTTAACAATATAGACACAACAATGTCACCATTTTCTTTTATTTTTTATTTTATACTTTTTGTTTTTGTTAAGAATTCTTATTTTTATGTTTTATACTTATGTTTATGAGCACTAGCAATGCACGACGTGTGCTACACGTAAATAAATTTAAATAATATATCTTTTTAAGAAAACGCAAATTGTATGTGTAATTAAATTAAATAATAAAGTAGGTGCTAAATAATTAATTCATATTTTAATTATTGTTAAATTTAATTATTAATCTATTTTGCAAGTCTTTGATCACGTAATCTATAATTTATTTAGATATCTCTCCGACCCCTTTAGGCAATTACACATCTAATTATATTACAGAATTATTAATTTTTATATTGTTAAATAGATTGATAAGATCGTTTATAATATTATTATATTGTTGCATACCAAACAATAATATATAGCACATATTTGACTGTAAAATTTAATTTGATAACTACATGTGCATAATAATTTAGCACATATAGGACTTTACTTCATATAGATATAAAAAATTATATGTAACATACTAACAGTATTACTAATAAATGACTTCAAAATAATTTAAAAGTCCTTACAAAAAAGTACAAAACAATTTATAAGTCAAATAGGAGTAAAAAAACAAAAATTAAATAAAAGCATATAGGTAGATATAATTGACTTTATTATAATAAGGATAAAATAGGAAATCAAAATTTTTTCATGGATGCTACCATTTATAAGTAGCATAGATAAACTAGTGTAGGGTAATATTGCAATTACTCTAGATATTGGTTAAACATAAACAAGGTGTAGAGCAATACAGTCACACAGTTTATTCTTAGTCTCTTTCTCTCTTTCTCTTCTCTTCTCTTCTCTTCTCTTTTCCTCTCCTTCTCTAACCTTAATATTATTACTATTATTGTTTCAACTTTGATATCAGAGCTTTGATCTGAACAAAAACAAAATTTAAAAATTCCAAAAACACATGCGTTGGAGCTACCGACGTCATCGGTGTGCTGGCGTCATAATTTTTCAACGATTGATTCTTAGATCTAGTTCGACGATTGATTCTCAGGTCTAATGATTTTGTGGAACAGTACAAAGTTTGGTTAGAAGCCAAAGGTTTTGCTCAAGAGTAGGTCTAGACCAAGGATTGAAATATCGTGTCAAAAAGTCTGAAACGTTTCGAAATTTCAACACACCGATACGAACCAAGAGTTGAATCCCAAAATTCTAAAGTTTCGGTCGAAACATTACTATGTCTGACCATTTTCGGACGAAACAATGTATAGATTCGATTCACTCCAGACCAAAAGAAAAAAAAAAAAAAAAAACTCTCTCTCAGAAACCTAAGATTCCACAAATCAAATCTCAAAATCCATACGTCCTCCAAGCCCAAAAAAATGGGGGGGGGGGGGACACCGATCATAGAAATCTCAAATTTTCTCAAAAATCACATGTCTAGGTCCCGGTCTTCCAAATCAAAAAAAAAAGAGAGAAGAGAGAGAGAAAGACACCAAACGAAATCAAAGAGACAGAGAGAAAGAAAGACACATACAAACTATAGACCAGAAATTGAAGAAGAAAACTTAAATAACTTACCTCCTTGAGTCCAGATTTGAGCAGATACAACTATTTTCCACGCAAACCTAGGGCTTCGGAGTTGGAAGTCCCGTCTTCATCGCTGCGAGCTACAACCACGAGCTACCAAATATGTTCTTTTTCTTCCTCTCTCTCTCTCTCTCCGGCATAACCATCGCCCATAACCATCGCCATCGCCTCTTTATATTCTCTCTGTCTCTGTCTATGTTCGTTCGTGGGTCACAACTATGCAGAGTCTTCTACTTTTTATATTTTTTTTGTTTTTTTGTTATAAGTATGAATAATTATATTTAATACCCCACTGTATTATAACTTTTTACTTTTAAGTATACATAAGTACCATTAATTTAATTTGATATCCTTCGTTATTTTTTTTTCTTTTTGTAACTATTCTTTTATGTTATTATTTGTTAAATTGGTATATTAAATAACTACAAGTCATTTTATTAATTAGAACTTATTTGTTAAATATTTAGAATTAAGTATTTATGTGTGTATAAATTGTGTACACAATGATTTTAATATTAATAAAATAATATTATTTATTAATTTGCTACACAAATTAGTATTATAATAACATGTTGCACTTAGTATTATTAATTAGTAAATTAGTATTATAATAAAATAGTATTATTAATTGGATAATATTTTAATTTAAAAGTGTTATACATGTCATATATAATTTGTAGAATGAATATAATGTGTTTGATAATGTAATGGTATTTATTGTAGATAGGACATCAAAGGGAAAGAATGTGTTTACTTGATGAAAATTAAATGTTTAAAACAAATTTAAGTGATTTTCGCCTCATGTCAAGCTTTTTTTTCCTCCAATTTAAATTTATTCTTGTATAAATGAATGTTAACCCAATAAATATGTTGAATTAATCAATTATTTAGCTTATCTTTATAAATAAATGGATTGTATTTGTGTTTCTACGTGTTTCCATATTTTTTTTTGCGTTTCTGAAACATTTTCGTTTTTGAGCTGACCAAAACAGTACTTCGAAACGATATTTCAATCTTTGGTCTAGACTATGATGGGACTTTTACTCCTGCTACGAGATTGCAGTTGATGTTATTCGCCAATGGAGTTTGTCTCAAAAGGATATGAAAAATGTCTTTCTTCATGGAGATTTAAGTGAAAAGGTTTTTATGACTCTTCCTCTTGAATTGTCTCATAATATTCCTGGTCATGTTAACTTTAGAAAGCTTTATATGGCCTCAGACAGGCTCTTAGAGCATAGTTTGTCAAATTTGTTTTAGTTATCTGTGATTTGAGTTTTTGTGCCAGTGAAGAAGATTCTACTTTTTTTACAATCTATTTTCTTAGATTCTATTATTCTCTTGATGTATATTTAGTACAGTGAAAAGCGAGTCTAAGCCAGAAAAGAAGCGAGAAGTGAAGTGAGGCGACCCTATGTCGCCTTGAACATGCCAAACAAAGTGACCCTACGCGAGGTGAGAGAAAAGTGAGCAAAAACAAATAAGCAATCGCTTTAGTGAACTTTTTAATTCTACGTCCTCTAATTCTTCTCCTCCTATTCTAACTCTTCCCCTCTTCTTCTGATTTTCTAGTTCTACTGAAGCCCCCTCCTCCTCCTCTTCTACTCTATTTCTATTTTTTTTTTCTGTGTTGCTATGATGCTGATTTTGCTTCCTTCTCTATTCTGTTTATGCTTTTTTTTTTTTGTGATGTTGATTCTACTTCCTCCTCTTCTACTCTGTTTCTGTGTTTTTTTTTCCTGCTAATTTTGCGGTGATGCTAATTCTATTTCTAGTTCTACTAGAACCTCCCCCTCTATTTTTGTTGTGATGTTGTGTTAGACAAATTTTCTATTTTGTTATTTTGGTTTTCAGCTTTGTTATGACTGGTTTTTTGCACTTGTTGCTTAGATTGATTCCGTCGTGTTTGTTTTTAGACTGCTCCTGTTTGATTTTATTGTTTTTTATGCTTAATTCAATTGCTTCGGTCGAAATATGACTGATTTAGAATATAATTTTTGTTGTTATTTCCTATTTGTAACATAAAGGACTTCATCTGTGATGCTTGAGTACGAATGTGAGACCCGAATATACATTTTATTGCATTTCGTAAGATGTTGTGGTCTAAAGTGAAAATTGATAATATTAACTATGGGGTAAAATCGAAAAATTATTAAGAATCTTAACGTAAAGTATGAATCCTAAAAATTATCTTAAGGACTTAGTTATATAATGGGCATTCCATATAGTGTGGGATATTTAAGTGTAAAAGGTTGATATTAGTCATGAGACAAAATTTAACAATTAGAAACATGTGAGATAAAAATATGAACTCCGACAATTAAAATCTAAGTTTTAAACTTAGAAATTGTAACATGTGGGATGTGATTGGCTAGATGATGGAAATTAAAATGTGGGTTTTAAATTTAAGGGAATTAGGAGGGAGTTTGGTGTATAATTCTTAGTAGTGGGCTGATACTTATCTATGCTACTTCTAAATGTACACATATTGGAAAAACATTTATTTGCCTCTTTTACCCTCTAGCAACTCTTAAATATCCAAAATATGATACACTTGAATAGTGTTCATTATAAAATACATTTATTTATTTGTGTGACTTTTAATGTCTCACCATCCATTAAATTATTTATATGTAACCTCTCAACTCCGCAACCCCTTCTTTTCCTTAGGGCACCTCTACAATCACCAAGTTACTTTTGCAATTTGTTAATGTAATTATAATCTATACTATTTTAAAATAGCAGAATACATGAAAACTTTTTTCCATCTTTTCCCTTCAAAAGTATAATTATGTCGTTCATATCCTTCATATTTAATGTCTTTCAAACTTTAATGCCACAAAACTACTAATGCCAACACTATTCTTTTTAAGTTCTAATAATAACATCAATATCATCTGAAATTATAACTGTTATGGGTTGTTAGACTGTTCGGTTATTGTTTTGATGCCAATATGGATTATTGTTCTGACTGTTGGGATGCTATAACATATTTATAGCTATTTATCTGTATCTATATATCTATAGGTACATACTATATACAAAGGTGGAAAAACTTTTGGTTGTCTATTTTAAACCTATTCAA